AACATGGTACTTGTGGGGAGGTGCCTGGAAGATCATTTTCCTCTTGAAAGGCCTGTTCACACCTTTTCCCTGTCAATGTTCCTCGTGCTTTCGTCAGAAATCCCAAACGCCGGATTTCAATCCGCCCTTTGGCACTCAAGGTGCAGGTCGGAGTCTCCATGGTAGGTACCTGGCAAAGGGGCCGGAGGGACGGCTTTTCGCAACAATTGGCAGCTCCCTTCCTGGACGTGGTTTTCGTGTTTTGCCGCCTCCGCAAAAAAAGTCCGGCAGAAATCGGGTGACATCCGCCATGAATCCTGAAGATGGACCGCACGTGTTCGCACCCCTTTAACGGGCCCGTGAGAACCGTGAGAACCGGTGCCCTCCTCTTACTACTTGGAACTCCCATGGGCCAACGGCCAAAGGGTGTGGTCAAAAACATGGTGCCCCTTTTTGGGACCTGCCGCTACGTGCCGCCTTTTAGACGGGTACCAAAAAGGGCCATTGACAAACCACGTGAGAAAACCCCAGGATATGTTTTCTTCACTCTTGGGGAAGTCCGAAAGCTCTTCGGAGGGACGACCCATAACTCATAACTCACTACTCTGGGGATCCTCATAACTCACTACTCTGGGGATCAGCATCAGGCCCTGAACACCTCTATCTGTGCTTCAGTCAAACATTGATAAGTTTAGCCGCCGGCAAGGTGGGTGCCAGGATACCCAAAATGTTTGCAAGTACACCAGCCATGCTGAACCACCAAACCGTGACACATTGCTGTCAAACAAAGGCTCTCCTTGTTCCCTTACTTGCAAAATTTTGGGCATCCACCGCAGGTCCCCCTTCGCTGCAGATTTGACTCTGGCCCCATGACTTTACGTCATCATCATAGTCAGCTAAGCGGCAGGGCAAAGGGAAACAGGCCCAGCTTCTACCAGTCGAATCAATGACCCCAAAATGAAACCAAAAGGACAAGCCAACCATGCAAAGCCCACCCATCCGTTAAAAAAAAAAAAAAAATGAAAATGAAGAAGAGAAAAACAAACACCCACCAAAACAAAAACACGCCACACATCAGCGCCGAGGACTTCGTGCGTGGTTTGATGGCCTTTTTTGGGGGGCGCCTGTGGGATCAATGCCATGCTCATCCGCGATCACCTCCCAGAACTTCGCGCCGATCTGGTTGCCGCACTGACCTCCAGGCCCGGCAGTTGGGGCGACTGTGGGCCGATTTTTTGGGATGGCCTCCTTTTTTGGGGAGGGACCCCCCCCCCGGCATTTGGTGGTTGGAAAGCCAAAAGGAAAACCACAGTTTGGGGGGTGCACTAAAAGAAGACACAGCCATTTGGGATAACCCGGCAGCCATTTTTGGGTGTTGGTTGAAAGGAACCCTACCCTTCCATACATGGAACCCATGATGCGTTTCCCTGCTAGGCCCACTACTCCCAACGATGTGAGGGACCAATTTGAAACTGGCCATCGTCAATCACTGCGCGGAAGTAGATCCCGGATCAATAAACCCATCCCATTAACTAGGGGGGTGGGGGAAAACTTCTCCAGAAGTGGTCTGAATCCCCACCTTTGCGGGATTCACCCCCAGGCCGATCCCTTCTTCAGGCCGAGCCGGCGACGGAAACGGAACCCCCGGGCCTCCCTGGACGTGCACGAGCTCGCGCATGGCGAAGTGCGAGGAGCGCGAGAGAAGCGGCGAGGATCACTTGAGCGAGAGAATGCTGCGGAACAGTTGGCCTTTGGCCTTGGAGGGCCGTTTTGGGGTAGAAAGGACACCCAAAGGAAGGCCACCCACTTTTGGGTGTCCAAATCCCTATTGTAGAGGAAGGGCACCCATTTGGGGTGTCCAAACCCCCATCTTTTGACACGGAACCTCGCGAAAGGGCATGCCACTGCGCTCAGCAATCCGGCCTTCTCAGTGGAACAGCTTCGGAGTGTTAGGACAAGTCAACATAGGGCTGTCATAGGGCTGTGGCTCGAAACATTGAATCCCCAAAACGGCACCCTGGTAAATGGAAACAAAGACCAAAAGCTGCGTGTCCCTGGCTATTTAATGTTGAGCCACACCCACGTTGAGCCTGCTGCTGTGGCAGCCAATGAAGCAAGAAGCAAGGAAGAAAACGAGAAGCTCGATACTATGCGTCAAACAAGGCAAGGCATGCATTGATCACGTCAAACAAGGCAAGGCACGTAATTCGTCATCCATCAGTGTGATGATGCCAGCCGACGGCCGTCTCAAAGTCAAGGACAAAGGAAACAACCCCTGACTTTGATCCCCTTGCCTGCTCCCCCCAAATAGTCGGGGGAGGAGGTTCTCAAAAAATGGCGCATCTCCCAACATGGCCGGGGCGCCCTTTTGGTTTCCATGTAACTACCAGCCGAGCAACTCCCGTATGATGATGGACAGGCCATAACTCGTGCCCCGTCAGATCAAGCAAAGCTTCCATGCAGTCTGCCTGGGGTACCTCGATTTTGGGTGGCTTTTTTTTGGGGAGGGCCCTCAAAAACT